GGGGGAGGCTGCGTACGGGCCCTGCTGTGCCCGTTCGCCGGTCAGGAGTGGGGCTGGGGGGGAGGCGGCAGACGGGCTCTGCTGGGCCCGTTCGCCGGGCAGGAGTGGGGCTGGGGGGGGCGGAAAGGCGGCGGACGGGCCCTGCTGGGCCCGTTCGCCGGGCAGGAGTGGGGCCGCAGGGGGGCGGAAAGGCCCGTTCGCCGGCCAGGAGTGGAGCTTGGGGGGGGAAGCCGGGACGCGCTTACTGTGTGTGCGGAAGATGGCCGCTCAGGAGACGCTGGCTGAGATGACTGGCTCCCTCCCCTCCCAGCCACCCAGCCAATGGCAGCCCAGGTTCGCTGAGGGAGCCAGTCATTGGAGGAAGCTCTTCTGAGTGGCATTTTTTCCGCCCATACACTAACGGGGCGCATTTTAGAACGTTGGTCCCCACTACTCGATTATAATAAGGAGAGATGCCTTGTGTGCCTAGTTCTTCTGACAACCCAGTGTCCTGCAGGTGATCTTAGGTGGTGGCAGGAAGTATATGACCCCGGAGGGGACCCCGGACCCCGAGTACCCTTCAAGCTCCAGTTCCAAGGGTCTCCGCAAGGATAGTCGGAACCTCATTGCTGAGTGGCTGGCAGCCTCGCCGGTAAGCGTCTTGTGTTTTTGGATTGTGAAGTTGGGGCTGCAGACAAATCTCATTGAGTTGTTGAAATTCTGCTCTACAGTCATCCCAGTCTCTGTGCCACAGAAAGTTCAGCTCTGCAATTTGCAAAAATTACGCAGGTTAAGATTTGTGGTTAAGACGCTGAACTGCAGGCTGTGGAAGGTCGGTCATTCAGCAGTTCGAGACCCGAGTGTGCCGCATGACGGAGTGAGCTCCCGTCTCTAGTTCCAGCTCCTGCCAACCTAGCAGTTGGAAAGCAAGAAATTGCAAGTAGATAAATAGGTACCACTTCAGTGGGAAGGTAACAGCATTCCGTGCGCCTTGGTGTTTAGTCATGCCGGCCACATGACCACGGAAACGTCTTCGGACAGCGCTGGCTCTTCGGCTTGGAAACGGAGATGAGCACCGCAACCCTAGAGTCGGATTCGATTGGCTTTCGAGCAAGGGAACCTTTTTACATCCTCTAAGGTCTGGGTTCCTTTGTCGTAGTCAGGGCTGTAGCTTAGCTCCCACTTTATTTAATCTTTTTCTTAATGATCTGGCCCTGTATTTGGCAGGAGCTGATGGCCATAGTCCTAAACTTGGCTCCATACATGTACCCAGGGGTCCTTTTGTAGAAAAAGAGGTGCAGGAGCTCATTAGCATAACTCATTAGCATAACTTATTTGCATATGCCACACCCCCTGACATCACCGGAAGTGTGTCAGAAGGCAACACCCACCACTCAGGCTCCACTGGACTGTTTTGGGTTGCTAGCTTTTTTTGGGTGGGGATGTGCAGATCTGTCCTTGCAGAGGAGGGAGAGCTTGTACCTAAATAAAACCTGGTCTTAAAGGTGCCACTGGACTGTTTTGGACTGGGGGGCTGGGGGGGCCCCTGCAACTTACCTGGCTGCTTCTTCCTCTGACTGAGGTCTGCTGGGAGCAGGGGGTGGGGCTTGTTGCATGTGCCCGCCCCCTGGGCTCTTTACTGCCGGAGCTCCGCTCCTGTGTGCTCCTGCGAGAAATGACCCCTGATTGTAACAAACGGGGGTCAAAGACAAGAAATGTTGCTTTTTATTATTTATTTACTTCAATTATGCCACACCTCTGTACGCAATGGGGACTCAATATTATTCTTCTCTTCTCCATTTTATCCATTCAACAACCCTGCGAGGTCGTTTTAGGCTATGGTTGCCAGGCCATGTTTGGCAGCTAGCAGGAGGGCTGGGGGCAGGGACAAGGGGGAGCGTGACATCATCTGCACCACTATGTCAATTCGAGGGAAAATCTGAATGTGATGTAGGGTAGCTCTAGGAATCGCAGTGATTCCTAGAGCTACCGTATGTTACTTCTGTGTTTTCCCATAGAATTTCCAGTGATTCCTAAAACTATTGTACATTGCTTCCAGGGGTCCCCATAGAGTTTCCAATGATTCCTAGAGCTGCCCTACATCACTTCCAGGTTTTCCCATATCGTTTCCAGTGATTCCTAGAGCTTCCCTATGTCACTTCCAGGTTTCCCCATAGAGTTGCCAGTGATCCCTAGAGCTACCATATGTTATTTCTGGATTTTCCCAAAGAGTTTCCAACCATTACCAAAGTATGTCACTTGCAAACACCGCCTCTTAACTACTAATTTCCCACTTCTACTTTGTTTTTTCAAACATCAGAGTTTTGCAGGGGACTCGAAAACTCTACTTTGTGATGTTTTGTTTGGTCCTAATAAAACTTAGCATCTGGCATGCCATCTTCCGTCTGTTTCCAGAGCGTGGCTTAGTCATTCAGGACTACACAGTCTGTCTATATGCCATTCTCGCAAAGACATGCACACCTTCTCTCGTGACAACCATACAAAGTTTCTCAGAATGCAGTCAATGGACAGGCGATGCCCGCGGGAGAATGAGATGCTAGGACTGTACCGCTTCCATGGACGGGGAGTGATTTTCCTGTTTCTTCCTCCAAGGCGGGAAAATAATTCCACGCACATGGAAAGCTCGCCCGTCAGGGAGAGGGGTTTTGCAGGGACCCTTCAAACATGGAAGCCACACCTTCCCATCATCCCACCCTGCCATCTGATGTGGAAAAACTGTAACCTTTGATACTGCTGGGCCCATTCTGCCTCTCAGCTTCCTCAAGTGTTGTCCCCACCCCACCCACCAGGTCTCTTTGAGCCTTCCGACATGAAGTACGACCACATTCGAGACAACCTCACGGACCCGACTCTGGTCGAGATGACCGAAGCGGCCCTCAAAATTCTCCAGCGCAACCCCAGGGGCTTCTACCTGTTTGTGGAAGATAAGTCGGGTTTGGGAACTCCTCGATACTCCTGTCCTGTCCCTGATTGTTTGGAAGGCCCCCCACGTATCTAGGTCCAGATGTCTCCCCCCTTACCTGCTACGGTTTCTGAACAATTTGGAGGAGGCCTCCAAAGGAAACAATGTCAGGGGGAACTTCCGGCCAAGGAGATAACAGACGAGAAACTGACTCAAAGGGGAGCCTGGGGTAATTGTAGGTGACCGTCCTCTTCATGGAGGGCCCTGAGTTCTAATTTGGCTTTACGTAGCCGGTGCTAGCCATGGGCAATACTGGGCGTTTTCTAGGGCTCTAACTCAACATGGGGCCCGCAGACCGAATGCCACCGTCTTTGTATTGGAATCAAAGCCATCTTTGGTGTAGTGGTTAGGAGCTGGGAAAACCGGGTTTGAGTCCCCATTGCTCCAACTTCTGCTGCTGGTGTGACCGTGGGTCAGTCACAAGTTCTCTCAGAGCTGTTCTCTCACGAGCAGTCCTCGAAAGAGCTCTCTCAGCCCCGCCTGCCTCCCAGGGTGTCTGTTGTGGGGAGGGGAAGGAAAAGGAGACTGTAAGCCGCTCTGAGACTCCTTTGGGTAGTGAAGGGCGGGGTATAAATACAATCTCCTCCTCCTCCTCCTCTTCGTCTTCTTCATACCCAAGGCAAACACTGTTGGTTAGTGAAAGGGATGGGGGAGACATTGCTCTGGGCTCTGCAGTGAAAACAGAATAAATTGGCATCTGTGGTACGGGCCAAGAATGACCAGCACAGACGAATGAGAGCCTGTCCCAATTGGGTCGCCCTTACTACTGCCGCACATAGGTTAAGGCTCATTTAGAACATAGAGGAGCCCTGCTGGGTCTGTCCGTCTAGTGCAGCCGACTGGTTTTCACAGTGCTCAACCGAATGCTTCTGGGAAGACGACGAGCGAGGCATAAACGGCAGCCCACCCTGCCGTTGTCCCCCAGCCATTGAAATGAAGTGGCACTCTGTCTCGATAGATTCATGGTGGAGAAGTCTATCAATGGCTACCAGTTATGGTGGCTGAGGGGAACCTCCACATTCAGAGGCACTAAAGCTCTGATTCCCAGAGCCAGGAGGCAACATCAGGGGAAGGCCTCGGCCTCTCAGCCTGTTGTTGGCCATCCAGAGGAACTGGTTGGCCGCTGTGTGAGACAGGATGCTGGACTAGATGGACCACTGGTCTGATCCATCAGGGCTCTTCTGATGTTCTTATGAAGGTCTTGGCCTCTCTGCCCTGTTATTGGTCTTCCAGAGGAACTGGTTGGTCACTGGGTGAGACAGGATGCTGGACTACATGGACCACTGGTCTGATCCAGCAGGGCTCTTCTGATGTTCTTATGAAGGCCTCGGCCTCTCTGCCCTGTTGTTGGCCTTCCAGAGGAACTGGTTGGCCGCTGGGTGAGATAGGATGCTGGACTACATGGACCACTGGTCTGATCCAGCAGGGCTCTTCTGATGTTCTTATGAAGGCCTCAGCCTCTCTGCCCTGTTGTTGGCCTTCCAGAGGAACTGGTTGGTCACTGGGTGAGATAGGATGCTGGACTACATGGACCACTGGTCTGATCCAGCAGGGCTCTTCTGATGTTCTTATGAAGGCCTCAGCCTCTCTGCCCTGTTGTTGGCCTTCCAGAGGAACTGGTTGGTCACTGGGTGAGATAGGATGCTGGACTACATGGACCACTGGTCTGATCCAGCAGGGCTCTTCTGATGTTCTTATGAAGGCCTCAGCCTCTCTGCCCTGTTGTTGGCCTTCCAGAGGAACTGGTTGGTCACTGGGTGAGATAGGATGCTGGACTACATGGACCACTGGTCTGATCCAGCAGGGCTCTTCTGATGTTCTTATGAAGGCCTCGGCCTCTCTGCCCTGTTGTTGGCCTTCCAGAGGAACTGGTTGAGGCCACGGTGTGAGACAGGATGCTGGACGAGATGGACCCTCACTGGTCTGATCCAGCAGGGCTCTTCTGATGTTCTCATGAAGGCCTCGGCCTCTGTGCTCTGTTGTTGGCCCTCCGGAGGAACTGGCTGGCCACTCTGTGAGCTGGGATGCTTTACTGGATGGATTATTTGTCTGATCCAGCAAGGCTCTTCTGATGGTCATAAGGGCGAGGAAGGTGAACCATCTCTGCTTCTCACTTGCCTTGAAAGTCTCTTGCTGGGGTCACTGAGCAGGGTTAGTAAGTTTCCAGTAAGCCCTTTGCTGGGGGGAAGTAAGCAGGGTTGGTACGTGTATGGGAGAACTCTAAGGGAGACTCTGCAGAGGCAGGCAATGGCTAACCACTTCTGCTTAATCACTTGCCTTGAAAACCCAATGGCAGGGGTGTCAAACATGCGGCCCGGGGGCCAGATCAGGCCCCCGGAGGGCTTCCACCAGGCCCGCAGTGGAACTGGCTGTCTCCTGCTGCTGCTGTGTCATCGTAGGTTTGCAGCTTACAGAGACACATCTGAACAGCATACTCAGGATTGCAACAACACAGACATTTTGATGCAATAACTCAGAGCTAGAGGTGTCCGTTATCAGACACTGTTAAATAAACAAAATATTGCAAGAGTGCTAATGTTTTAAGTAGGGTTTTATTTTAAGGAAAAAAAACCACCTTTGTATTTGTTTCCTTTGTAAAGTTTATATCTCCACTCCCTGGCATTACATTTTACGACACACATGGCCCGGCCCAACAAGGTCTCATTTATGTCAGATCCGGCCCTCATAACAAATGAGTTCAACACCACTGACCTATGGGATCGCCATAAGTCGGCTGCAACTTGACGATGCTTCGCACGCGCACACACACAAGGCTGTCATTCCATCACGAAGCCGTGAGTTCCACAAGCCCATAACACACTGGAGGGTGGGGAGTCCTGACTTTTGTCGGATCCGAATCGACGGCCCATGAGTTTCACAGATCTTGTCATGCTCACCAAACATTAACTCTCTTGCCATTTCTCTGCACGAGGCAAAATCGACCTCGCCCACCACGACGGCATCGCGAAGCGGGCTCTCACCGAAGCGGTGGCGTTTGATCAGGCCATCCAGCGGGCCGGGGAGCTGACCAGTGAAGAGGACACCCTCACCGTGGTGACCGCTGACCATTCCCATGTCTTCAGCTTTGGGGGCTACACCCTGAGGGGCACCTCCATCTTCGGTATGCGGCTGGAGTTGACTGGTGACGTGGGTCTCAACTGCAAATGGGAAGGAGCCCTGGGACTACAGTGGGGATTCACAAATGCCTTTAGAGCTCAAGAGGACAATAGTGGGGCTGTGGCTCAGCGGCAAAGCATCTGCTTGGCAAGCAGAAGGCCCCAGGTTCAATCCCCCGGCATCTCTACTAAAAGAGATCATGGGATGTGAAAGACCTCCACCTGAAAGCCACTGCTGGTCGGACAGCCAGTGTGGTAATAATTAATAATAATTGTGGTATGGCAGAATGTGTGTAGTATAGCCAGGAGATCCTAAGATTGTCTGGCAGCCAGAAATTCTAGCTCTTTTAGCGTTATGCACCACTAGGTGGCGAGATAGGCTTGTTTTTAATAAAATCAGTGAACAAAAAGAACTGTGCACCAACACTGTGCACAAAATCCAGATATTCTTATTATCAGGGGTCATTTCCTGCAGGAGCGTACAGGAGCGGAGCTCCGGCAGTAAAGAGCCCAGGGGGCGGGCATATGCAACAAGCCCCACCCCCTGCTCCCAGCAGCCCTCAGTCAGAGCAAGCAGCAGCCAGGTAAGTTGCAGAGCCCCCCTGGTCCAAAACAGTCCAGTGGCACCTTTAAGACCAGGTTTTATTCAGGTACAAGCTCTCCCTCCTCTGCGAGGACAGATCTGCACGTTCCCCCACCCCCCCATAGCTAGCAATCCAAAACAGCCCAGTGGTGCCTGAGCGGTGGGTGTTGCCTTCTGACACACTTCCGGTGATGTCAGGGGGTGTGGCCTAACCAAATGAGTTGTGCTAATGAGTGATGCTAATGAGCTCCGGCACCTCTTTTTCTACAAAATGACCCCTGCTTATTATTATGTGAACAGTGTTGGTGCACAGTTCTTTTTGTTCACTGATCTTGTTACTGCGTCGCTCACCTTTTGTGTTGCTATCTAGACTTGTGTTTATGGCAAGAGCCGTTTCGGAGGCGATTTGCCATGGCCTGCCCCTGCGTCACGTCCCTGGGATTTCTTGGGTGGCGCCCTG